CTGTTTTTCCTTGCTTTCTGGCTGCACCATCAGACAAAGAACCTGCAAAACCAGGCTGACCCCCTTGTACCCAAGGGGCCGCAGCCCCCAGGAAACACTGTTACCCCTCCTGCTTGGGGGTAGGTGCTCTAGCCTCCTCCTTGGTGCATCCCCTGAGGAGGGGACCCTGTCCTGGAGCAAGTGACCTGGCAGGTGTGGGCTGCCCCTCATCTGCAGGACAAGCTGAGGGGGTGGGGGCTATTTGGTGACTGAGGCTGCAGCCTCTTGGAGCACTTTCTCGATGCCTTGAGTTGAGCTATGGTCAGAAAAAATCTGTCTTTTGGTGTTGAAGGCACCTTGCTCTGTGCTACAGCAGGAGATGGGCCCCGTTACCCCAGGAAGTGGCTGAGAAGGAATGAGGCAGGTTCCAACTTGCTAGGTTGGACTGTCAGCCTTCTCCTCCCAGAGCAGCCCAGGGCTTAGGTCATACTTCCCCAGGCTCATGAGAGAGATGTGCAATGGTTTGGGGGGGCTGAAGTGTCCCTCTGGGAGCAGTGAGCATTCTCTAAAATCTTAGTACCTTCTGCAATCAGCCTGGGTGCTTAGTTTTTGGGCATCTGCACATCTTAAAACTATTCCAATAATAATAATATTGCTGGGTTTGGTCTGTGTCCAGGTGTGGGGATTGGTGCTCTGTGTCCCACCAACCCAGCCTTGAACCAAAAGCCACTGGTCTCTGCACTGCAATTAAAACATACCTTTGTCATTCATGGGAACCTTGCCCTTGCCATCTCTTTGGCTCTGCAAAACCAAAAATTAATCCAGGCTTGCTCTCTTAAGCCTGCTCTGGGTGTGCAAGGCATCCGTGTACCCACAGGAAGGAGAGTCCCTGAGAACCATAAATAGGGTCTTACAAAAGACTGCTCATTGGGGAAATAAAAGCCAGATAAAGGGGCAATTAACAATTTTCTGTGTTCAGTGGAAACTGGTGCATATAACAGCAACATTTCAGATGCATAAAGCTCTGTTCTCCTCCCCGCCCTGATTCCTTTCTTTCCTTGAGAATTGTTCTTCTGAATCCGAAAGGCCGTGGTATTTGTGAGAAGCTGAAGATGGAAAGAACCCCGTGTCCTTGGGGGCAGAGTGCGGCACAAAGGGCTGCCCAGTGCCAGGGCTGAGCTGCCTGCTGCAGCCTGGGCTTTGCTGTTCTGCCTGCTCTTTGGCTGATGCACTGAGGTGATCTGACCACTGTTTTCTCCTTCCCAAACTGTTTTCTAGTTGCTTTCCTGTCAAAGCCTCAAGGCTTGGTTACTCCCAAGAAAAAAGGGAACGGGAATAAAAGAAGAAAAGGCAAAGGCCTGGGGAAGAAGAGAGACCCGTGCCTGCGGAAGTACAAGGATTTCTGTATTCACGGAGAATGCAAGTACATCCGAGAGCTGGGAGCTCCCTCCTGCATGTGAGTTGCTGGCGTGTGTCTGTGCCGGGGGAGCCTTAGTCACGG